TGCATTTCGCGCACTCGACACGCGCGATCTCCGCAGAGGGTTGCGCGGGCATGGCACAAATCGTGCTCTCGCCTGCATTTCGCGCACTCGACACGCGCGATCTCCGCAGAAGGTTGCGCGGGCACAGGCCAAATCGCACTCTCACCTGCATTTCGCGCACTCGACGCGCACGATCTCCGCAGAGGCTTGCGCAGGCATGGAACAAATCGCACTCTCGCCTGCATTTCGCGCACTCGACACGCAGGATCTCCGCAAAGGGTTGCGCGGTAACTTCACAAATCGCGCTCTCGCCTGCATCTCGTGCACTCGACACGCACGATCTCCGCAGAGGGTTGCGCGGCAATTTCACAAATCGCGCTCTCGCCTGCATTTCGCGCACTCGACACGGACGATCTCCGCAGAGGGTTGCGCGCGCACAGGCCAAATCGCACTCTCGCCTGCATTTCGCGCACTCGACACACACGATCTCCGCAGAGGGTTGCGTGGGCACAGGCCAAATCGCACTCTCGCCTGCATTTCGCGCACACGACACGCACGATCTCCGCAGAGGGTTGCATTTTCGGTTGACGCTGTTCGTCCCACCCTCCGCCTTTAAGAGAGAATTTATAAAGTGGGGAAATGTTTTTCATTAGGACATCTCACGTGCAAGTTTTCCATACTCACACTTGCATACTCATTGCATACTCATTACACTTGCATACTTTTGCACTTGGATACTTGCCGTTGGATGCTTTCATGCACTTGGATACTTGCCGTTGGATGCTTTCACTCTTCCACTTACACTGGGGTACGTATAGAAGTGTAAGTGTTCATGTTCATGTTCAAGTGTAAGTGTAAAAGCGTAAGTGTTCAAGTGTACGTGTCGAAATGTCAGTGTTCAAGTGCAAGTGTGGAAGTGTCAGTGTGTAAGTGTAAGTGTCGAAGTGTCAGTGTTCAAGGGATTTTCCGGAAGAACCCTTCGCAATGCTTTCGGGAAACATATATTCGTTAAATCATAGAAAAAATTTAGTAATACGCAAATAAATATATAGTATAGTAAGTAATTCCAAAATATATATATATATATCTATTTATTAAAAAAAAATAAATAGTTCTAGAAAATCCTATTTTTAAAAATATCAATCTCCATATATAATAATTCAACAAAAAAATCAACATTTATTATACGTAAAAGTAAAATAAATCTATATAAATAGAATTCCAAATTTCCCAATACAAATAATCATTTGTTCATTTCCAATATCTAAATATTAAATGCATCCACGCGAAATAGAATCCTATCGTAAAGGAAAAAAATTAACTATATATATATAGTGTTTTTAAAATTGCAATAATTAATATATAGTATATTTTATTTTCAAGAAATTGAATATTTATCGCCCTACCATCGGCATAAGCCAAATGAAATTGAAGCTTTGGAAAGAGACGCTTGAATTGCGCGATGACGCAAATACATGAAATACAAGGATAGTGCGTGACGTAGAGATATATCTTCCCTTGAAAATCTAGTCCTCTTTCAGGATGTCCTTCTTGAAGCCAATCTGCAGCTATATGAAGCAAAGCACTGCGTTCCGCATGTCCACTACGATCATGCTCGCCAATCATGTTGGGAGCAATACGACTCTTGGTCACCATGGGCCTCAGGAGGTTAATGATCATGGGAGAAAGTTTAGATATCTCTGCTTCAAGTCGCCAACCAAAAGCTCGACCAAGTTCTTTGTGTTCACCAACACTGGAGCTCACTTGAAAGCGAACCCATGCGACAATTTCACGCTTGTTGACTTTATCAAGCTGTCGCACAAGCTTTTGCTGCTCCACAGGAGCATCTTCTTCTATACCAGCTTGGATGGCCCGTTCTCGTTCCAAGGCACATGCATGGACGGCTTCTTCCACCCAGCCTCCTGCTTCATGGCGAGGATAAACCTGCACAGAGCTGATTCCAATTCGTCTCAGGAAGTCTGCTGTAAAGCCAGCGCCCAAGTGATCTATGTCCAACTGTGAAATGCAGGTCTCTACGCTGGACCAATCACCATGAAGTATCGCCTCTGCCAGAGGATCGAAGACGTGTCTCTCCAACACAGAAGTTAGGTTCTTCCATCCAGCTTCCAGCTGATCTGCAAAGGATAGGGCTGCATTGCCTAGAATCAAGAATTCACGAGCTCCGACATTCCCGAAACCTTTCTCAAGAAAGAGATCAATCGCAGCTTTGCAAAGTTCTATTTCTGCAAGACCCGTTACGCCTGTTGCCTGCACTGCACTCAGAACTTGTGCCACATTGTGCGCTGCCTCATCTCTATGGCCACTTGCGCAGCGCCGGGATGTCTCCTCACATGCCACGCGCAGCAATCTTTCACTGTGAATCGCAACATTGGCGAAGGACCAAAGAACATTGCCGATGCCTTGCATATCAAACTCTCGAATGTGATTCTGCGAGTAAGCTGCTACAGCAGTCATCCAGGGTAGGTGACATCGCCCTATGATTGTACTGTATGCCCATGCGGCATTGGCAATCTCTCTGGGTGCACAGCTTTCAATGCCCCTGCCGCCTAGAATCTCATCAACGACCTCATTGAAGAATGTATGATTGCACACACCTGCAGTACCATGAGCCCACAGCATAATGGAGAGCTCGTGTGTCTTAAACTCTGTAAGTCCCAGTGTCAGGGCATGATTGGCTGACTTCAGAAATAGCCAAGGCAATCGTACGCATGCAGTTGCGTAGGCCCACAACATGTTATTCAGCTCTTGAGCTTTGCACTCAGATAGTCTCTGTACAAATGGATCTGCTGCTTGATGGAAAAATGACTCGCCCCGGAGTTCTAATGAAGCGAGTGACCACACAGCGATTGCCACGTTCTGACCGGACATTTGCCAAATCATGCCCTTTCCCAAGGAAGTTAAAAATGATATCACATTGTCATGGTGCAGGACTGCTGCAAACGCCCAAAGCGTGTTTGCCACATCCAGGGGCTCAAACTCGTCTTTCTTTCTCAAGCTGACCTCCTTGGCAACAATCCTGAACCAAAGCTCCTCAGTATAACAAGCTGTTGCATAGGCCCAAACGGCATTGGTAAGTCCTTGCACACTAAATTCGCTAGCCCTACTGCACACAGCAGTTGCAAGCTCGCGAAATGCAGAATCATGGCTGATTGCTTGCTCAGAGAGTGCTAACGAATACAGCAGCGTTGCAATGTTTCTGGTGTCGCTGTGTCTCCACTCAGCCTGTTTCGCCACAATAGCATCTGCAACTTGATCATAAAAATGTTTGTCTTTGTGAGATACCTTTGCCAATGACCAAGCAACTAAGCTGAGATCTATTGGTGCAAGTGTAGCAATGGGTGCATCGGAAGCTACTCGTTGGAATACCACTTCACAATCCGTATAAGAAACGGTCGCAAATCCCCAGAGCAAGTTTGCAAGTTGGCGATCACTGAATTCAGAAACTCGAGTAGCTGAACCCGTTCCCAATACTTCCCACAGAGGTTCATGGCTCAAGACCAAAGCTCCTGCTGCATATGCCACTGTCGCAGTGCTCTGTGCATCAAAGGCCGAGCTCCCACGGCGGAGAAACTCGCAAACACTCGCATTCGCTGCATCTTCAACATGCGAGGTCTTGCTGCTTCCAGTAGCCATGCTCCAAAGAAGCAATGACAGCTCTTGGCCTTTAAACTCCTCAATGCGGCTGACTGCAGTCTCGAGCAGCGCCTCGAGCAAGCCGGACTTTTTCCAATAAAGTTTTGCCACTGCCCAGCAAGAGTTGGCAATACTTTGCGCACGGAAGCGATCTGGCCGCGTGCGAAGTTCAGCTTCCAAAGTTGATACCAGTCCACTGAACCGCTCCAGCTGAAGTGTGCATGCGGGGTTCGATGCCAATCTGTGCAATGCGGTACACAAACTAAGGGCACTGAATTGGGTGTGTTTGGATTCAATCAACTCCACAAGCTCGTGCATTTGGTCAGGCCCAAATCCTGTCAAACGTTCTTGATAAGTCACCTCCAAGGTGTCTCCCACTAGTTTTTTGGGTCTCTGGGAGCGTTTTGGCGCTGGAATCAACTTCCCAGTTCTGCTAATTTGCGCGGAGCTTTGACTTAAACGATCACTGCCCAGCCACAAGGCTGGAGAACAATAAGATGTCGTCGATCCAGAAGCAGCTGCAGCAGCGGCAGCTTGTGACACCAGACCGGAATGACCACGTCTCGGAAGACTTGGCATTTCCGGGTCGGCCACGGACGTCTTTGATGATCGGGCCGGGCCGGCCACGTCTTCTGTTTCTTGCAACTCTTTGTCCTCGCGCTTCTCTTGCCCTCTCCCATCTCTCCTGGGAGGATAGAAGGACTGCATTGAGGCTACGGCAAGTTGCAGGTCTCAAGAACCTGTGCTTCTCCATTTGCCAAAGAAACCAAAACGATCTGAACTTACATCAAGACAAATAGGTCACCCACCTTCCCAGGCGGTGACAAAGGGAGATTTGACATGAACAGAAGTACCGTCACAGTCTTGTCATTATCTACTGCTGCTGCAGTTCATCTTGCGATTTGAGGGAAATTTGATGTTTGGCCCTTCAAAGTCAAAGTACATCAATGTCTCTGGTTTGCGCTTTGCTTGTCATTGTCCACAAAAGCTCACAGTCCCAGCTACGCTTTCAGTCTCAACAGCCACTCAATTTGTTGCAAGGGAATCTGGAGTACATGGTTGCATTGAAGCAGTTCTTGAGAGCCAAGAGCTTCGAATGTGAGTATAAGTCTACGCTGTTGCCTAGCATCTTGTCCATCATCAATTAAACTAGAAGTGGAAACCAACCCAACAACAACCAAACAGTCAACACAAGTTGAATGCGCCGTGACCGCGACAGAGCAGCGGCTGCGGGCGCTCCTTTTTCACTTGAGCCAAAAGTACAATGTTCATGAACTATGCCTATACATATGAGGTGTACATTACACAGGAAACTTCAAGTCCCCCCCTCATAGTGTGATGAACATATGTACAGCTGGTATTTCCAGGTCTGAGACAGTCGCTTCATTGATTGAACCGTCTGTGACCTGACAATTCCTATCGAAAGACTGCAAGCTTACGAACGGTCTTTGGGAGCGGCGCTTAGAGCAGCCAGCCACCCTTCACGCAAGCTTGGCGCTATGCTCGGCAATAGCACTGTGCGGCATGCATTGTCCGGACTTTCATTCAAGGCAGATCAAACTTAGTTTGGAACTGCGGCTGGTTATCGCTTAGCTCTAACCACTTCATTCATTGCAGATCTAGCTTAGCATCGAACTGCGGCAGACTATCGCTTAGCTCTAGTCATGCGAGCTCCTGCCTGCATCATAAGACGGGAGCGGACTCAGGGAGAACTGCAACAACTCTAAAGCATTTCACCATTTGGCTAACGGCAATCCTTTTGTAAACACGTCACCCTTTTGCTGAGTCGTTTCGATATGCTGGACTGTGATGTCATCAGCATTATTTATTGTTTCGGCAGTTGAAGCCACATGCATGCGGTGGGTTTTACTCAAATGCCTCAACTTGTTGGAGTAACCTTTCAGAAGAATCGAGACCACAGCTGTATTGTCTTCAAAAATCTTCAGGGTCATTCCGGGGATCAACTCTTGCCACACTTGCAAGGTTGGGATTGCCTCTGAGAAGAGGGCTGTGGAAAGCGAAACAAACTCGCTCTCCGCTGTTGAACGGGAAACTACGCTTTGCCTCTTAGTACCCCAGCTCACCGGAGCAAAGCTGGAGGGACCCGACACTGCAAGCACGAATCCGGAGGTTGAGCGCATTGACTTGATGTCACCACCGAAGTCGGCATCGCAATACAGGGAGAGATTCAACTGCTCCGGCGGATCACGAATGCACATCACGGGGGAGTACTGATGGGACTTTTGCAAGTACCCGATGAGTCGTGCGACTCTTTTATCGTCGTTGGCTGACCACACCGTTATGTGTTTCGCCAACAGAGTGACAGCGAATGTGACGTCTGGTCTGCTAATGCGACAGAACCACATCAACTTCATTATTCATTTGGCCGAATGTGGCGAGAGCTGCCCCTTGATCTCGTCATCAGCGGGGATCAAGGCTCCGTCGTCCCAGGTGGGCGAGGAGTAGTCCTTTACCGGCGTTTTCGCCAGCTCTTCATACAGTTCCACGCACTGTTTTGCGAAGTCTGATGATTCTAAGGCCACTGCTTTGCTCCCTTGAAACCACACAAGCCTATGGTTTCGTCCTAAGACTCTTCCATATTCTGACGGCGGATCTAAATTTATATACTGCTTGAGGGTTTTCCAGAACCCTTCGTGTTCGGGAGGCCTTGCCTGAGAGAGTAAGGTCGTCTACGTAGACGCTCATGACCAGAGAACGACCGAACCGGAAAACCGAGGGCATCTCACTAAACTCGACACCGTTGAGTTTTTCACGCAAGATCCTGGAAAGGTGGGCCTGCCAGTGCGCAGACGACTCTGGATGGCCATAAAGGCTCTTGTACAGCTGAGCGCAAGGCATGTGGACATGTTTCTTGGGTTCCGGCGCAAGCTCAGGCGGTAGCATCACGAATGTTCGATGCTTCGCGCCAAGCGCCGACTGAATATATGCCCGGGCGCAATCAGATGTTGAACAAATGTTTCCCTCGATCATCGAAAAGGCTATCACTGTGTTCAGCGCTGCAATTGAACTCGGAGCGGAAGCAGCAAGATCCTGGAAGATGGCGCTCAAGCCCCCCTGCTCTTGCCCAAGCTGCCCATGTTCGTGGGCACCACTCACATCTGCACCCAAGTCAAGTACAGCGTTGTAGTTCAGGTCCAACTCGCAGATGGCCTGGATCTCAAAGGTCTCAACCTTGGAGGTCTTGAGGGCGATGAAGTCCACGTTCTCGAAGAGGTCGTTGTAGTCCATCTTGTCGTCAATGAGGTCGATCTTGTGGGCGGAGTCATCCTCCATGGTCCAGTAGTCGTCCATGTCGGTCTTGGTGGGGTCAAAGCGCTCAACCATGTCCTCCTCGGTCACCACCATCTGAAAGCCTTCTGTGAAGCTCTCCTCAAATGTCAATCTTCTTCTGCAAGATCAAAGATCTCGCAGGCTTCCAACATGGGAGGCTCACCGTGCCAGCGCTTCTGTGAGAAGCGTTGCTGCTCGGTGCTGTACTTGCCGAAGACGATGAAGTCCTCGTGGAAGGTCCAGAAGGTTGCCCTCCACCATTTCCTCCATGATCTCCCTGATCATGCCCTTCAACTTGCTGAACTTGGTGTCCACGTTGCCAACATTCAGCTGCTCTGTGGCCTGTTTTGCAAGGTCCCTTGGACTTGCCTTTGCCTTTGGCTCTGGCCGCCACCTTTTCCTTTGCCCTTCTCAGAAGAGCCTTTGCCTTTGCCCTTGCTCTTGCCCTTGTCACCCTTGGCTTTGGGCGGGCCTTTCTTGCCTTTGCCCTTGTCTTTGCCTTTTCCTTTGTGGTCGCCTTTGATGCCATTGGCACGATCTGGTTGCGCTCGAGGATCTTGGCGCTTGACCAGGCAGCCGTAGATTGCTCATAGGCCGCTGTCGCAGCTGCCCCGGACAGCAACGCATGACCGTTGCTATCTTCAAATTCTCGCTCGTACTCACCGACCAGCTTCTCATACTTCATGATCCCTTCAAGGATCTTGCCCTTCTCGAACTGCGGAAAGGCCACCAATGCCTGGATGATTCCAAGCTCTCTTTGCCTTGTCTTGCTGGAACTCCCGACAAAGCCCTTGCCAGGCTCGAAAGCCATCAGTGTCCGTGACACTCCGGACGATCCGAAGCGGTCGCCCCTTCACGAAGCTAACCAAGTAGGCATACAGCTTCTTTGCTCTCTTCTGAACTTCCTCCTTGTAGTCGCTCAGCTTGAGGTCCTGCTCCAAGTCCTTCTCCACGTGCTCCAGGTCGTTCATGAACTCCTCCTCAATGAAGGACCATTCAGGCCATGTAGGCTGCTCTTCATCGACAGTCCCTGGAGACCAAACTTCAGGCTTCAGCAGGGTCCTGGGATCGGCCTTGCTGCCGTCCTTCTCCTTCTCTTTGTCACCCAGCTTCTGCAAAGTCTGGGCACAGACTCTTGTGAACCCATGGAGCTCTGCCACCACTTGCTCCATGCCAGCCATGGGGCTTCAGCCCCCACCAGTGACCCTGCCCTTGAGGTAGTCACTTGCAGTGATTGCACCACTGCCACTTGCTGCGCCGCAATGGCTCGTGAGGCTGAGGATCGGGTCCTGTCCTCTTAAAATGGGATTGGGTCCTGTCCCTGGAGCTCCCCTGGGACCAAGTGGAATCAGGATCCTTGCTCCGCTACCATCTAACAGAACGGGCTCTTTTCTCACTTGAGAAGTCGCGGCCTTGTACAGGCACTTCTAGGTTGCATGACTCAACATGTTTTACATGGAGTGTAGGGTGCACACATCTTGTTCTCACAGTGTTACATAAAAGATCCCTTTTGCATCTCAACTGAGGTATGTTACATTGGCATGGCTCCTGCCTGAAGGGTATGCTACGTTGGAACACCTCCGGTCTTCTCCAATTCTCACCCTCGGGTGGCTCACAAAGGGTATGCTACGTTGGAATCTAAATTTGAACCTCCGGTGGCTCACAGAAGGTATGCTACGTTGGAATGGCTCCTGTCTTCTCTAAATTTTACCTGCGGTGGCTCATACAAAGTATGCAACAGCTACGGGCTCCTTTCTTCTACTCTAAATTTGACCTTCTGTTGGCTTAGAAAAGGTACGCTACGTTGGAATGGCTTCTCCTCTAAATTTGACCTTCAATGTTGGTCGTCTCTATGGAGGTCTGCTACATTGGCATGGCTCCTTCCTGCTTTAAAGCCAAGAAACAAGCCAGTGACACATCACATCCACCATACAACCAGAAAAAAATAACAGTGACAGATTACACAAAAACACCAATAAACAAGGAAACAAACAAAAAACATAAACACACTGAGAGATCACGCGGAAGAAAAAACAACTGAAAAAAAAAACAAATAAAAAAAAAACGGGAGGCAAGGAAAAACACCAAAAGAAAAAATACAGTGACAAATCACATAGAATAAACAATATAAACACTGAAAAACCAAGAAGATAAAGAAAAAAACGGTGACAAATCACAGAGACGATAAATAAAACAAACCAAACCACTGAAATACCTAGACGATGAGGAAAGGAAACTGAAAAAAGTTATTTTGTTAAAGTAAAAGAAGTGACAAATAAGAATGAAAACTTTTCATATGGATGCAGGGCGTTCCAAAACGAGATTAATATCTCGCGTTCCAAAACGAGATCAATCTCACGTTCCAAAACGAGGTGGTTTCCTTTACGCAACTGCTTTGAAACGGCAAAGCAACGAGAAGACCTATCGACAACAGTGCTTTTGTGGCGAATCGCGCTTGCTGCCAAATGTCTGGTTTGAGCTTGGCTTTTGAAGCTCTCGCACCTTCTCCAAGTCAGCTTCGGTGAGGAACTCTTTGTCCCCGGTGCTGTGGACGAATTCAACAAA